GAAAATATTTTTTAACAAACTTCTATTTTCATTTTGGGATTTTTGATAGATGTAATGACTCAGTTAGAGTGATAGAAAAATGTGTTCACTAAATGACCAGTTACATGTACAAAAACTTTTTTTTAACATTATAAACTTCTCTCTTTTTTTGTTTTAGGATTGATAGATGCTTCAAAGAGAGGTGATTTAACAAAGGTGGGTAAATTACGATATTTATGGGTAAACAGGTATCATTTTGTATTATTTGTCACAGTTGATTGATTATATACTGATTATTTTCACAGTTCACTGATTTTTGTAATTTTTCTTCACAGTTGGTTGACTTGTTCTGTAATCAGGATGCGGACCTTCTAGCGACTGACCAATATGGCATGACCTCACTGCACCATGCTGCACGATTTGGACATAAGGGCATTGTGAAATATCTCATAGATAATGGTAAGACAGTTAATTCTAATTAATAATAGAAAGATACCTCATTGATAACAATAATAAGGAAACCTAAAAAAGAGCTAAAACATTATAGAAAATATCTCAATAATACATTTATCTTTACAGCGCCCCCGGTCATTCTGGATATGGTGGACTATGAGAAGTAAGTGAGGGAGTCAATGTTACATATGACTGAATTTTTCACTTATGGATAGCAGTAGACAGATTAAAAGATTCAGATTGCTTTCATTTAAAAATATCATAACTGTATTCTTGCTGAACCTAATGCAATATAGAATGATAAGAAAATAAATTCTATCATCTGAACTCAAACAGAATTGTACCTATTGCATTGTTCCCAAAAAAAAAATATACTGAATCCCTTTCCTACTGAGTGATTTTATACAATGGTAATTGCTTGACTTTGAACCTCTTTGATGATTTTGTCATTGACTTCCAGAGGACAGACAGCATTACACAAGGCAGCGTGGTACCAGAGACGGACGATCTGTTACATGTTAGTGGAGGCCGGGGCCTCCCTCACACGTACTGACTATCAGGGGAACACGCCGCGACTACAGGCACTGAAGGCCGATGACAAAGAGCTGGCCGCTTATCTAGAAAGTAGGTCACCCACTCAGGGGAGTCATGTCATTCATTCTAATTCATCTAAATTTTGTATAGACTTTGATGTACCATTATGATCTGATTTTAAATCTTGTTCAAAACTTGTTCTATGTAAATGGGCCAGAGGACAAATTAGTTGTAGGTTAGATATTTTTACAACTGATTCATTTCTTGTTAATTTATCTGTTGGCAGACAAAAGCATGACTTAGTAGGTAAAGTTCCTAGCTCCAATATTATACCTACTACAGGCTGATCTAGAAAATTACTATACAGACACTACACTGCTAATTTATACATAGAGAACCGCCCCCAAAATGTAGTGCTAGATGTAGATAGACTGAATGTATAAAATCAATTCTCCTTTGCTATCATGGTGAAGAAATGCAGAAAAAAATTCGAAATTTAGCAACATACAGAAATCCTCATTCAAAATCGATTTCAATACCATTATTTATTTTCAATTTCATTATGCTGTGACAAATTACATAACCTTGTATATCTGATGTCAATCATTAAGCTTGAGCCTTATTATTGAAGACAGTTATAAAATATGTAAATTAAGTGTCATTATTATGTTCCCCAAACGGAGTTTGGGAACATATTGTTTTTACTCGGTTTCTTATTAGGGTCTTCCGTCTTCAGCGGAAGACCCTTCTATTATTCTTTTGTTTCTTTTTCAATTTTCTTATTATTAGGGTCTTCCGTCTCCATCGGAAGACCCTACTATTATTCTATTGTTTCTTTTTCACTTTTATTATTATTTTTTTTTTTCTTTACAATTTTTGTGCAGAAGATTTCTCGGAGATGGCTCGACCGATTTACTTAAAATTTTCGGAGAAGGTGTATCTTTATAAAAACCTTATACGTTTTTTTCGATTTTTTGAAATTCACTTCCGGTCGGAAGTTATCGCCCTTTGATCGAAATTTTGATGACCTCCTTGTCTGTGATGGAACTCAAAAACGGCTTGAGCTAGAGCGCTGAAATTTTCAGTGATGATAGAGGACATATTGCTATGTTGCAACATGGTCAGGATATTTTCCGGAAGTGCCTAGTATGGAAGCTCGGTAGGGGTCAAAATTTAGGACACGAATCTTGACTGATTTTTTAAGACCTTTTGCATCATATCTTGTAAAGTATCATTATTTTGTTAAGACATAATGAACAGAATTTGTGCAGAATAACAAGATCTTTAATATCATATCAAGAAAAAAGTGCTGACTCATCACATTAAGGGCCAAAAGGGGCCAAAAGTCTTTTTTCGATAACTCTTAAACAGTCAATATTTTGTTAGACATTACAGAAGCAAAAATGTTAATCTCAACAATCTACAACTGTATATTATAATTTTAACGTCGTATGTGACATAATTAGGGGCCACAAGGGGCCAGAATGCTAAATCTTTGATGCTTTGTATCTCAAAAGTGGTAAATATTTTGACAAGTAATATTGAACAAAAGATGTTCAAAATAATGTTCTGAACAATATGCAACCTTTCATTTTTCGCTAAACGTCCCCATTAAGGAGTTGAAGGGTTGGCCCCTAAATATTTCTTTTGCCAATAACTCGAAAACGAAAGAGAACCTCTGAATAGTTGTTGAACAAAAAGTGTTCAAAATCCTAAGAGCTTTAAGATGAGATCAAGAAAAAGGGGCTAAGCCCTCAAATTAGGGGCTGAGAAGGGCCAAAAGTCTTCTATCGATAACTCTTTAGCAGTTAATATTTTGTTATACATTACTGAAGCAAAAATGTTTATCCCCACAATTTAAAATTATATATTGTAATTTTAATGTCGTATGTTACATAATTAGGGGCCACAAGGGGCCAGAATGCTAAATCTTTGATGCTTTGTATCTCAAAAGTGGTAAATATTTTGATAAGTAATATTGAACAAAAGATGTTCAAAATAATGTTGTAAACAATATGCAATCTTTAATTTTTCGCTAAACGTCCCCATTAAGGAGTTGAAGGGTTGGCCCCTAAATATTTCTTTTGCCAATAACTCGAAAACGAAAGAGAACCTCTGAATAGTTGTTGAACAAAAAGTGTTCAAAATCCTAAGAGCTTTAAGATGAGATCAAGAAAAAGGGGCTAAGCCCTCAAATTAGGGGCTGAGAAGGGCCAAAAGTCTTCTATCGATAACTCTTTAGCAGTTAATATTTTGTTATACATTACTGGAGCAAAAATGTTAATCCCCACAATTTAAAATTATATATTGTAATTTTAATGTCGTATGTTACATAATTAGGGGCCACAAGGGGCCAGAATGCTAAATCTTTGATGCTTTGTATCTCAAAAGTGGTAAATATTTTGACAAGTAATATTGAACAAAAGATGTTCAAAATAATGTTCTGAACAATATGCAACCTTTCATTTTTCGCTAAACGTCCCCATTAAGGAGTTGAAGGGTTGGCCCCTAAATATTTCTTTTGCCAATAACTCGAAAACGAAAGAGAACCTCTGAATAGTTGTTGAACAAAAAGTGTTCAAAATCCTAAGAGCTTTAAGATGAGATCAAGAAAAAGGGGCTGGGCACTCAAATAAGGGGCTGAGAAGGGCCTAAAGTCTTTAATCGATAACTTGAGCAAGTAATATTTTGTTATACATTACTGAAGCAAAAATGTTTATCCCCACAATTTAAAATTATATATTGTAATTTTAATGTCGTATGTTACATAATTAGGGGCCACAAGGGGCCAGAATGCTAAATCTTTGATGCTTTGTATCTCAAAAGTGGGAAATATTTTGACAAGTAATATTGAACAAAAGATGTTCAAAATAATGTTCTGAACAATATGCAATCTTTCATTTTTCGCTAAACGTCCCCATTAAGGAGTTGAAGGGTTGGCCCCTAAATATTTCTTTTGCCAATAACTCGAAAACGAAAGAGAACCTCTGAATAGTTGTTGAACAAAAAGTGTTCAAAATCCTAAGAGCTTTAAGATGAGATCAAGAAAAAGGGGCTAAGCACTCAAATTAGGGGCTGAGAAGGGCCAAAAGTCTTCTATCGATAACTCTTTAGCAGTTAATATTTTGTTATACATTACTGAAGCAAAAATGTTTATCCCCACAATTTAAAATTATATATTGTAATTTTAATGTCGTATGTTACATAATTAGGGGCCACAAGGGGCCAGAATGCTAAATCTTTGATGCTTTGTATCTCAAAAGTGGTAAATATTTTGATAAGTAATATTGAACAAAAGATGTTCAAAATAATGTTCTGAACAATATGCAATCTTTCATTTTTCGCTAAACGTCCCCATTAAGGAGTTGAAGGGTTAGCCCCTAAATATTTCTTTTGCCAATAACTCGAAAACGAAAGAGAACCTCTGAATAGTTGTTGAACAAAAAGTGTTCAAAATCCTAAGAGCTTTAAGACGAGATCAAGAAAAAGGGGCTAAGCACTCAAATTAGGGGCTGAGAAGGGCCAAAAGTCTTTTATCGATAACTCTTTAGCAGTTAATATTTTGTTATACATTACTGAAGCAAAAATGTTTATCCCCACAATTTAAAATTATATATTGTAATTTTAATGTCGTATGTTACATAATTAGGGGCCACAAGGGGCCAGAATGCTAAATCTTTGATGCTTTGTATCTCAAAAGTGGTAAATATTTTGATAAGTAATATTGAACAAAAGATGTTCAAAATCATGTTCTGAACAATATGCAATCTTTAATTTTTCGCTAAACGTCCCCATTAAGGAGTTGAAGGGTTGGCCCCTAAATATTTCTTTTGCCAATAACTCGAAAACGAAAGAGATCCTCTGAATAGTTGTTGAACAAAAAGTGTTCAAAATCCTAAGAGCTTCAAGATGAGATCAAGAAAAAGGGGCTGGGCACTCAAATTAGGGACTGAGAAGGGCCAAAAGTCTTTTATCGATAACTCTTTAGCATTACTATTTTGTTATACATTACTTAAACAAAAATGTTTATCCCCACAATTCAAAACTATATTATTGTAATTTTAATGTCGTATGTTACATAATTATAATAAAAATCTTTATCATTATTTTAGAATGAAAATCTCAATCAAAATTTAATCTCATCTTATCAGGAATCGGACGGAAGACCCACTCGTTGCTCGCAACGAGATCGTTTTTTTGTTAGGGTCTTCCGTCTTCAGCGGAAGACCCTTCTATTATTCTTCGGTTTCTTTTTCACTTTTATTATTATTATTATTATTCTTTTTTCTCCTTACCGATTTTGTGCAGAAGATTTCTCGGAGATGGCTCGATCGATTTGGTTCAAATTTTCGGTGTTGATGTACTTCTATCTGAAGTTTGTACCGGCGCTTCGATTTTGAAAAAATCACTTCCGGTCGGAAGTTATCGCCCTTTAATCAAAATTTAGATGACCTCCATGTCTGTGATGGAACTCAAAAACGGGTCAAGCTAGAAAGCTGAAATTTTCAGGGATGGTAGAGGACATGTTGCCATATTGCACCTGGGTCAGGATATTTTCCGGAAGTGCCTAGTATGGGAGCTCGGTAGGGGTCAAAATTTAGGACACGAATCATGACCGATTTTTTGAGACGTTTCGCATCATATCTTTTAAAGTATAAATATTTTGTTAAAACATACTGAACATCATTTGTGCAGAACATCGAGATCTTTCATATCATACCAAGAAAAAAGCGCTGACTCATCACATTAAGGGCAAAAAGGGGCCAGAAGTCTTTAATCGATAACTCTTTAACAATCAATATTTTGGTATATATTACTGAACAAAAAATGTTAAGCTTAACAATCTACAACTACATATTATAATCTTCATGTCGTATGGTACATAATTAGGGGCCACAAGGGGCCAGAATGCCAAATCTTTGATGCATTATATCTCGAAAGGGAGAAATATTTTGATAAGCAATATTGAACAAAAGATGTTCAAAATAATGTTCTGAACAATATGCAACCTTTCATTTTTTGCTAAACGTCCCCATTAAGGAGTTGAAGGGGTGGCCCCTAATTATATCTTTTGCTAATAGCTCAAAAACGAAAAAGAATTTCTGAATAGTTATTGAACAAAAAATGTTTAAAATCTTAAGATCTTTAAGATGAGATCTCAAAATAGGGGCTGGGCACTCGAATTAGGGGCCAAGAGGGGCCAAAAGTCTTTTTTCGATAACTCTTTATCAGTTAATATTTTGTAATACATTACTGAAGCAAAGATGTTTATCTCAACCATCTTCAACTATATATTATGATTTTTATGTCGTATGGTACATAATTAGGGGCCACAAGGGGCCAGAATGCTAAATCTTTGATGCTTTATATCTCGAAAGGGAGAAATATTTTGATAAGCAATATTGAACAAAAGATGTTCAAAATAATGTTCTGAACAATATGCAACCTTTCATTTTTTGCTAAACGTCCCCATTAAGGAGTTGAAGGGTTGGCCCCTAAATATTTCTATTGCTAATAGCTCAAAAACGAAAAAGAATTTCTGAATAGTTATTGAACAAAAAATGTTCAAAATCTTAAGATCTTTAAGATGAAATCCCGAAAAAGGGGCTGGGCATTGGAATTAGGGGCCAAGAGGGGCCAAAAATCTTTTTTTGATACTCTTTATCAGTCAATATTTTGTAATACATTACTGAATCAAAGATGTTTATCTCAACCATCTACAACTATATATTATGGTTTTTATGTCGTATGGTACATAATTAGGGGCCACAAGGGGCCAGAATGCTAAATCTTTGATGCTTTATATCTCGAAAGGAAGAAATATTTTGATAAGCAATATTGAACAAAAGATGTTCTAAATAATGTTCTGAACAATATGCAACCTTTTATTTTTTACTAAACGTCCCCATTAAGGAGTTGAAGGGTTGGCCCCTAAATATTTCTTTTGCTAATAGCTCAAAAACGAAAAAGAATTTCTGAATAGTTGTTGAGCAAAAAATGTTCAAAATCTTAAAAGCTTTAAGATGATATGAATAAAAAGGGCCGATTCCTAAAATTAGGGGCCGTTAGGGGCCAAAGGCCGATTTTTTAAGTCTTTAATGTTCAATGTCTTTTTACAGATTGTGGTAAATCATTATTTTAGAATGAAAATCGCAATCAAAATCTTATCTCATCTCATCAAGAATTGGATGGAAGACCCACTCGTTGCTCGCAACGAGATCGTATCTAGTTATTATTATTATTCTTTTTTTCTGCACAAATTTTGTGCCGACGATTCCTCAGAGATCTTTCGATCGATTTGTTTCAAATTTTCAGGGTTGGTGCAGAATTATCTGAAGTTAATTCCGGCTGAAGGATTTTTTGAAAATCACTTCCGGTCTAGAGTTATCGCCCTTTTCTTAAAATTCAGACGACCTCCGTGTCTGTGATAGAACTCAATAACGGCTTAAGCTAGAGCGTTGAAATTTTCAGTGATAATAGAGGACATGTTGCCATGTTGCACCTGGGTCAGGATATTTTCCGGAAGTTTCTAGTATGGAAGCTCGGTAGGGGTCAAAATTTAGGACACGAATAATGACTGATTTTTTAAGACATTTTGCATCATATCTTTTAAAGTATAATTATTTTGTTAAAAGATACTGAACAAGATTTGTGCAGAATGACAAGATCTTTAAAATGATATCAAGAAAAAAGTGCTGACTCATCACATTAGGGGCCAAAAGGGGCTTAAATTCTTTTTTCGATAACTCTTTAACAGTCAATATTTTGTTATACATTACTGAAGCAAAAATGTTTATCTCAACAATCTACCACTGTATATTATGATTTTCATGTCGTATGGTACGTAATTAGGGGCCAAAAGGGGCCAGAGTGCTTAATCTTTGACGCTTTATATCTCGAAAGTGAGAAATATTTTGACAAGTAATATTGAACAAAAGATGTTCAAAATCATGTTCTGAACAATATGCAACCTTTTATTTTTCGCTAAACGTCCCCATTAGGGAGTTGAAGGGTTGGCCCCTAAATATTTCTTTTGCAAATAACTCGAAAACGAAAAAGAATCTCTGAATAGTTGTTGAACAAAAAGTGTTCAAAATCTTAAGAGCTCCAAGATGAAATCCAGAAAAAGGGGCTGGGCGATCAAATTAGGGGCCAAAAGGGGCTAAAAATCTTTTTTCGATAACTCTTTAACAGTCAATATTTTGTTATACATTACTGAAACAAAAATGTTTAACTCAACAATATTTAAGTGTATATTATGATTTTAATGTCGTATGTTACATAATTAGGGGCCACAAGGGGCCAGAATGCTTAATCTTTGACGCTTTATATCTCGAAAGTGAGAAATATTTTGACAAGTAATATTGAATAAAAGATGTTCAAAATCATGTTATGGACAATATGCAACCTTTCATTTTTCGTTAAACGTCCCCATTAGGGAGTTATCGGGCTGGCCCCTAAATATTTCTTTTGCAAATAACTCGAAAACGAAAAAGAATCTCTGAATAGTTGTTGAACAAAAAGTGTTCAAAATCCTAAGAGCTCCAAGAAAAAATCCAGAAAAAGGGGCTGGGCGATCAAATTAGGGGCCAAAAGGGGCTTAAAATCTTTTTTCAATAACTCTTTGACAATCAACATTTTGTGATACATTACTGAAGCAAAAATGTTTAACTCAACAATATACAACTGTATATTATGATTTTAATGTCGTATGTTATATAATTAGGGGCCATAAGGGGCCAGAATGCCAAATCTTTGACGCTTTATATCTCAAAAGTGAGAAATATTTTGACAAGTAATATTGAACAAAAGATGTTCAAAATCATGTTCCGGACAATACGCAACCTTTCATTTTTCGTTAAACGTCCCCATTAGGGAGTTATCGGGCTGGCCCCTAAATATTTCTTTTGCAAATAACTCAAAAACGAGAAAGAATCTCTGAATAGTTGTTGAACAAAAAGTGCCCAAAACCCTAAGAGCTCCAAGATGAAATCCAGAAAAAGGGGCTGGGTGCTCCAATTAAGGGCCAAAAGGGGCTAAAAGTCTTTTTTTCGATAACTCTTTAACAGTCAATATTTTGTTATACATTACTGAAGCAAAAATGTTTAACTCAACAATATACAACTGTATATTATAATTCTAATATCGTATAGTACATAATTAGGGGCCACATGGGGTCAGAATGCTAAATCTTTGACGCTTTTTATCTCGAAAGTGAGAAATATTTTGATAAGTAATATTGAGCAAAAGATGTTCAAAATCATGTTCTAAACAATATGCAACCTTTCATTTTTCGCTAAACGTCCCCATTAGGGAGTTGAAGGGTTGGCCCCTAAATATTTCTTTTGCAAATAACTCGAAAAGATACAGAATCTCTGAAGAGTTGTTGAACAAAAAGTGTTCAAAATCCTGAGAGTTTTAAAATGATATGAAGAAAAAAGGGCTGATCCTTAATTTTAGGGGCCGGTAGGGGTCAAAAGTCGATTTTAGGAGTCTTTTATTGTTCAATGTCTTTTTACAGATTATGAAAAAAAAATCATTATTTTCGAATAAAAATCTCAATCAAAATCTAATCTCATCTCATCAAGAATCGAACGGAAGACCCACTCGTTGCTCGCAACGAGATCGTATCTAGTTATTATTATTATTATTTTTTTTCTTATTTGTTCTCCGGTACTTTTTTGTCCGCGAGTGTTCTCAGAAACTGTTCACCCAACTGAGCTAAAACCTTTTTAGGGTTAATAGGTGTGTAGTGTAGGTGTGCGGAACGAAGGTCATTTTGCGCGCAAACGCCTGCACGTGCGTGCGCGTGAAATGACAGGTATACTTAATATAGCCATAACTTTTACATTTTTCGATGAAATGCTTTAAACTCATTACATAAGGATATATTAATAGTGTAAATTATATGACACTGTCAAATTAGCACGAACTCACGCGCATGCACGTGCACCTTGCTCTGATTGGCTGAAACAAAAATCTCAATATCTCTTTCGTTTTTTGACAAAATGCTTTGAAATTTAAATATTTAACATGAATTAGGATAACCTACAATATGATATGAAAAAAAATCATGAAATTACGTGCATGCACGTGCACTGCAATCTGATTGGCTGAAACTTTAAATGGCTATATCTCCTTTGTTTTATGACAAAATGCTTTGAAATTTAAAACATAATCATGCATTAGGATAGCCTACAATATGATTTACAAAAAATTTCAAGAAATCACCCGCATGCACGTGTGCTGCAATCTGATTGGCTGAAACTTTAAATGTCTATATCTCCTTTGTTCTTTGAAGAAATGCTTTGAAATTTAAAACATTGTCATGCATTAGGATATCCTACAATATGATATAGAAAAAAATTCATTCACGCGGATGCACGTGTGCTAAAATCTGATTGTCTGAGACTTGAAATGGCTGTAACTCCCTCGGTTTTCAACGAAACAGGATGGGATTTAGAACATAGATAGATATAAGGGCCTCCTACAAGAAGGTATGGTCATCATGCACGTGCACGCACGTGCGTGCATTTGGAACGAGTGAAATTTAAAATACACTTGAATGAGTGATTTTTAATACTTTTGAACTTAATGCTTTGATATATACACATGTAGTATATTAAGATACATAGAAAGCGTAGACAAGATGATATGATCATTACGCACATGCATTCATGTGCGCATGCGTGCAATGCTAAAATTTGAATATAATTCGTATCCTTTTCGGAAAACGTTGTTAATGTCAAAAATGCACAGAGGTTGTCATTTAATAAGGCTTACAGGGAATATGGCACCAAAAGGTAGTTGGGGAGCGTTTGGGGAACATCTGTAACGGTTCCCGTTACAATTAGTACTAGTTATATTTTGTTTTATTCAGGTCAAGAGGAAGAAATGAAAAAAATAAATAAAATTCTCTCGTCTTTTTTTTTGTAGGTCAGGAGCATTTTCAACTGGTTGTGTCAGAGGATCAAGAAACAGCTGTTTGACTGGTTCCCCAGAAAACAGCAGTTTGACTGGTCCCCCGAGTTCCATTAAAGGCCAATACATGTGATAAAAAACCCCTGAACTTGGCCCTACATTGTGATATTTCTGACAACTTTCCACTTTTTCGTGTTTTCTCCCAGTTTTGTGATGCAGTGAATGGTGTGAGTCATGAGTGAGGACTTTATAAAAGAGTGAGAGATTTTTTTTTTCTACTTTTTACCCTAATATCTTTGTCTAGGATTATTTTTGTCTTTGGATTTGATTGGTTCTCACAATTATCTGTGATATATAGGCTGTTTCAAATTTATTCACAGTTTGTGTATTCAAAATTGGATATTTGATTTCAAATTTGCAAATTATTGCTTGAATTTGAAGTTATATATATCACAAGGATACTTGTTGATACAAGTTATTAGCAAGTAAACACTTTCTCCAGACTTTTTCTTTTTGGATGTTTATTCAGTATGTTTATAATATACCATTTGTACATGTAGATATGTACAGATGTAACAAATTTCTGATGTATTCTCGCTGAGAAACTTATTGTATATTTCTTTTGCTACACATATCTTTTACATAGGTACAGATGAATTGATTTCATGTGTATTCGAGACCAAATTTGTTTTGCAGTAAAGCAGTTAGTGTATTAAATTACAATTGATCAGCAAGCTGGGTTTACTTGCTCCTCAAGCAGTGCTTGAATATGTCTTTTTTTGTGATCATTTTTATCAACCATATCATGATTCTCTGTACAGATATATTTTACTACCTACATTGGGAAGAAAATGATGTCCATATATCTTGTTATGTTTGTTGTTATAACACAAATTGTTATTGCTTAATCCGAAAACCACACAGAAAATCTTCCATTTTTTTCACTTGAAATAAAAAAAGATTTTGCTTATTCTCGCACATTTTTGCATAGCCATGCATAATTTATAAAGAATATTGTAAACATTTGTATTTATTTATAGTAGTCTCAAAATTTGTTTTATTGTAGTGATTTTGAAATTGAAAAGGATTTGTTTATAAATTTCTATAGCTCTATGTCATTTTTTTTTTGTGTATTCTATACTTCTTATAGTTACAAGTTTTGTAGTTGATTTTTTATTTGTATTATTTTCTATTATTTATGCAAATAGTTTGAGTTGGAGAAGGTCCCATTCCAAAGCAAACTATGGCAATATCACAGCATTATTTATTATGTTAATTAGATTCTTTAACATTCCCTATGCAAAAGTTGAGCTTATTGGATTAATAACCCGTGTTTAACTATCCTCCAATACTCTTACTGGTATTTATTTGATATACATATATATGGTAATATAGACATTAACTGTTTTTCAATTTTAAAAGAAAATTGCATCAAAAGAAACATTTTTCAACTCATTGGTTGCAACATTAATTTGCAAAGAAAAAAGGAAGATGAAGTTTTTTTTCCAGAAAAACTTTCTTTTTCAGACACGCCGATATTTAGCATTTTAAGGAATGATTCGTTATGGTCTTTTGTATTTTAAGAAACGGTTCATTATGATCTTTAACTTCATCTGTAATGCTGATTTTAATTATGTACAAAAAGTAGAATTTTAAAAAAGGGGAGAAAATCTTATAAGAATAACAGTTAGACTAGTTTTTCTGTACACATTTCATTTACTCCCTGCTTAGAAAAGGAAGAAATCAGAGATTTGAAAATGTTAACTTGTTGAGATAAACTCCGCAGAGAATATTGGAAGATTTCATTCTTTAGTTTTGTAATTTATTTCTTTTTGAGAAGTTGTAGAAATACACTTTTTTTACTTTACATTAAGTCTGCAAATAAATACTGTAAAAAGAATCCCATAAAACTGTTATATTTATTGCTCAGCAGAGTCACTTATGTGATTTACTGCCATCCTCAAACTGTTGAACATTTTTTGCTTCTTCTCATACTGTAGATTCCTTATTTTTCGCGAGTACTTTTTATTACGAACTGGGTCTTTCACGTCATATCGCGAGAATTTTAATTCGCGAATGGACGGTTGATCAACAAAATTTACATAGATTTCAGGACAATAAAAATAAGAGAGTAATGTTTTTTCGCGAGTGATTCTTCTTGCGAAATTAAATCCTTGCGTATAATTAGGAATCTACAGTAGATTGTTGAACCAATTTTAGTCAATTCTATGAGAAAAGAGGTCAGTAAATGTGTCCATTTTCAAAACCTGTAACTGCTATTCTATTTTATACGCAGAGCAAAACAAGGATCAATCTGGACTTTAATGTTGATGGGCAAATAGCTGAAAATTAAATTTTTTCAGCTATTTGCATGATTTGCCCATCAACATTAAAGTCCAGATTGATCCCTGTTTTGCTCTGCGTATAAAATAGAATAGCAGTTTACAGGTTTTGAAAATGGTTTTATTCTGTTATCTGTATATTAAAAACAGTTTAAGTAAATCATTATGGGAGTCGGCAAGATTCCACTTCCCCTCGAGGAAGACTATTTCCCTCAGCTCAAGGAAGACTATTTCTCTCAGGTGCACTTCAGGAAATATGTTACCTGAAGGCTTTGCAATTTACGAAATTTGAAACTTTCTAAAACAAATAATCGATAAAAAGCACAATTTTCTGCTTGTTTTTAACGTTGTTTACTATACTAGGACACCTATAGAGGACAAGATTTTTGTTAGACGCCCCTGAAGCGTCTATATTGTTACTGGTATAGTCTCAACGTGATAGAGTGTTTCAGCTCAATCTTCTTGTCAGTTGAGCATTTGAATACAATATAAAGGATACACGAGTTTTAACATTAGTAATACAAATATTTTCAAAGAACCTTATGATAATGGTATTAACATGTCGGGCTGTGAAGAAAGAGAAATATTATTAGAAGGCGGATAAGTGCGCTATTTGAAGTGAATAAATGATTATCGTCAACAGAAATTCGACATTTTGTAACTAACTTTTAAAAATTAAGTATTATTTAGAGAACGAGACGGGTGTTGTATCTAGATACAAGAGTGCGTAAGCACGAGTCTCCACCCCCAAATTTGTATCTACGATATAGAACCTGTCGAGTTCTCTAAATGATTTGTGACACGATCAATCAAAAATAGCTCCACCTACTTTATAACTTTGCAGCATCCTCCAGAGTTTCTGTAGATGAGGCCCCGACGGGGAGTACGCATCCACAGTATATATATTTCCACGGAAAACGCAAATTCGGTTAGATTAGTTTTGACAATTTAACGGGGTAGACGTAATCGAGTGATAGTCAGTCTTAATGGATAAAGTGGATGATTTAACCGTCATTGTTGTGATCTATATTGTAGTTGGAGATTTATGAGAATATATTTCAGGGGTCTTAAAATCCCGGTTTAACTATATCTACAAAAACAGACTGTCGTCAGCGAGAATCGAAGGATTTTAAAAAATAAAAACGCGTAGAAAATGGACTTGGATGATTTTGCACGAGGAGAGTAGATGTTTTCCGTTATTGCGAATTTTCCGTTTCGTTTAGATAGAAATTACGTGTAGAGGATGTTTTCCGTCACTGCGATTTCTCCTTTTAGTTTGGATCAAAATTACGTGTAGATTCTGTATGGAATAATTTTTTAAAAAGTGACTGAGAAATTTTGACGTTTTACATTCTCAGGAAAATACCGGGTATTTCTCCAAAATTTATTATAGGAAAACATCATGATCAGCATTTACCATTTGTATGTGCTTTTGCTCAATTGAAACAGATTTATTTTTAGACCATGCTGTATTTTAGATACAGAAGAGTTGGCAAATACAATACTGTATACAGGGTTAATACAGAACGGAAAGTAGCTCCGCCCACCACAGTCCCATTCTGTATTGCTAATACAGAACAGTAAACTTCAAAGAAAAACACCGCTATCGTGTCACAAATCTTAAAGAAGCAATGCCGGTGAAGTATTTTAAAATATATGAAAAAATAAATGCATGCAAAAAAAAAAAAAAAAAAAAAAAAAAAAAACAGTACCCGCTACTAGTCTCAATATTTTTTTTTTAAGAAAGGATTAAACACGGGCTATGGTAAAATAAAAATAATTGGAGAATGCGAATAACGGGCAAAGTGATTATAATGAACAGACATGTAACATTTTATATCAACTACTTATTGAAGTTTAGTGAAACAATGTCAAAGAAGTACGTAAAAATAAAAATAAAACACATACATGCAAAAAGGGCATTCCGACTGAAATAATTTATAGAAAAGGTTATGATATGCTTATCAGATTTTCTCCTTGTGACTTGTGACCTAGATAACGCATTTGAGGTGAGTACTTTTAACAAAGGTCTAGTCTTGAAACGCAGACGGTTTTATTCCTTATTATATTGGTCCAATTCCTCCATCTTCCTGTTAATGGTCATGGTGGGGAAACATTTAGTACCAATACAGTCTAGAAGGCGGTGATGGAGAAATTAAAGGAACTCCAGACGACCGTACACCTCCAAAGTGATCGCATTTGTCAGTTAGAGAAACAGAACAGAAACTTGGAAAAACGTATTGCTACCGATCTCCGCAGTAGAGAGAACAAGCAAGATGAACGGATTTCTATTCTAGAGAAGCAGTACTCGCGTTTAGAAGAACGTTTGGTAAAACAATCGAGGGACATTCTAGCTGATAAAAATTTGAAGAGGACCACAAAGAAAAAGATTTCCGTGTTACAGAGTAGACAGAATGTCCAAGAAAAACTTTATAGAGATCTAAAGAATCAACTACGAAATTTGATGCACTTGCAGGAGGAAAAGTCCTCTTTCCTTAAAACCTTCACACAAAACCAAGACAATTTGATTAGAAAAGGTGGGGTTTATAACAATACGAGGGTTGTCCGTAAAGTTCGTGGACAACATTGATAATTACGGACAAACATTAACAAAATATTTGAAACTATTATTTTCATTAAATTCATGTTTCATTTTATAGATATGCAAGTTTTCAACAAAAACAAAGCACAAGTAGTTATATTCTTATCAGATACAAAAAAGACACTCTCATACCCGGAGCACTAAAACGAAAATTCTTGACGTTACCCGACGTCAAAAGCTAAATACGAGCACATGTAACTTTTCTCAACATAGTCAGCGTTTAACTCAATAAATTTTTTATGTCGTTTTGACCAGTCATAAAAATATGCACAAAATGTTCGGGTTTCATTCTTAAAATAATATTTAACAATGCCTGTATCATATCCTGCAATCATCCAACCACTGTCCGTGTAAAGACGATTTCATTTACGGAAATACGGCATGATCACGTTACGAAATTCATATTTTACAGCACTGCAATCTCGGAATAATGGTTTTCCTTCACGCATGTCATCCTGTAAACTGTTCATTCTGTCTGAAAATATTATATGCCACTTAAATACTAGTGAAAGACTTCTTTAACTATGTTTTCCCGATTGTTTACAGAATGTATTGGCCTCTGTAGGTGTTTTTTCCGGTGTCAACGCAGAATTTTATCACTGTTCACTGCTCCACCTATTTCGAAAACGTCTCTTTTTTTGATCGTATCCGATCCTGTCTTAATAAGTTCTAACGCTGATTGCTCTACCATTTTGAGACTTTGAACGTTAAAATTTTGCAGGTTTGACCTGATAACTTCTGTCAACCTCATGATGTAAAATTTTTTCAGATTTCCCAAGAATTTTTGAAAATACAAATGAAATTTAAAAAGTGATAAATATATTTTTAATTAAAATTTTGCGGTGCTCCGGATCTCCATTCCAAGTCTAATTATGAAGCCATAATTATGATTAAACAATTGAAATTGATTAAATTTTTACATTATTCAATTCGCATTAAGTAAAGGATTAGAAATATGCCAATAATAAATATCAATGACACAACTTTTATCAAATTTTTGGCTTGTCCACGAACTTTACGGACAACCCTCGTACATCCTGGAAGATACATATCATATAAATATTTATTCATTAAAGAGATATTTGTTCTTTACTGCATTTTTACAGAGCGATTGCTTGCACCTGTGACAACTTCTGCAATACATGGCAATAGTGTCGCTTTTTATGCGTATTTATCGAAGGATATTCCATCTCCAAGCGCACATCATATCCTTACATTTGATAACGTAATCACCAATGCTGGAAATGCCTACCACCCACATGCTGGTACATTCATAGCCCCCACTCTGGTCTATACGTGTTTACATGGACTTTAAGAATATATGGAGGTTCACATCACTCAACAGAACTCTTGGTCAATAACAATGCCGTTGGGTCGACGTATCTTGATTCAGCTAACACTGTTAGTAGTGTCACCGGTACTGTTGTGGTGCATGTGGACCAGGGAGATGATGTTCTACTAAGAACTCTGGACTTGTATAACGGTGGTGATATTACAAGCAGACGCGAAGGAAGATCATCTTTTGCAGGGTGGGCTTTAGCTTAACAAATTCAAAGAAATAAATTTTACCTTATTTATTAGTAGAAGTTTCACGCTTCTTTAGTTTTGCGATAAAAAAAGATACCATAGGTAGTGTAACTCTTTTCTCTCACTCGGGGCTTGTATTTTGATTACATTGCTAAAGATTCATCATCATGCCTTCATTGTTGGGGTTATTTCTCTTGTAAATGAAGCTTTACAAATAACAGTTCAAGCGACATCCAAAATGAATAACTGTTAACACAATAGATATGGTGTACTGTAAATCACTTTTTATTCGCGAGAACTTTATTTTAGCGTAATAACGCGAGACAGTGTGCTCGCGAAAATTTAATTCTCGCGTATAATAGTATTCCTTAAGATAATATAGAGCAATAACCACAATAAGCGAAAATTT